AGAGAGAGAGAGAGAGAGAGAGAGAGAGAGAGAGTTCCTAGAAAACAAACGAAATAATAATTGAATCAATAATAAGATTGAAATAATTAAATAATTCAAAAACCAATTCTAAAGACTTCCAAAGAAAGATGTTCCAGACGATATAGTTAATATACATCAATATTAATGTATGTCAATGTACGCAAATATTACACACGTGCCCCGTGCAAGCAAACACACGCGCACATGACATAATTATTTATATAAATGTAGGCTAATATTTAGCGAATGTGCGAAAAATTGGAGCACATTAATTGATATCAGCTGTGTCATCGAGAGCTACTAATGCATATTAGATCTTTCTAGAACAAGTCTTATATTTGATAACTTGCGAATACTTTGCGGGAGGAAAATATGAGATTTTTTAGAAAAGTTATTTAAATGTGATAAAGACCTATATATTTTATATGTGAAAGATATATTATATGTATTATTTAAAATCTATATATTATTTAAAATCTGTTTAACTATCACACATGATGAATAGATTATATTTTAATACAATTACACTTTAAAATATTGTTACACTTTAAAATATTGTAATGTATGTTTACTTTCTAACTTTAAGAATAATCTTCCATGCATATAGTTCTCTTAAACATGAAAAAAATTGTATTATAATTTATGATAGTTTCAAAAATTAATATAGTAAAATATCAAGATATAAATTGTAAATAAAATAAACATTTTTGTTTAGTAAATGTAAACAATACTAAGAATCTTTAGTTTAGACCGCATATGTGAGAAACACAATCAATACTAGAAAAATGTCTATTACGGTCGAAGCTGGATTGTTTTATATAATAATTCAATCTTAAATATTACTAATATACACTATATATGTACTTGTATATATATTGTAATCTTTTTAGATTTAATTCACGATTACTAGAGTTTTAATTGTATTTATAGTCCGGAAAAACAATTTGGCGCGCAATTCTAAAAAGACTACAATATGGTATATATACAAGTATATATATAGTGTATATTAATAATTCAAGATTGAATTAAAATAGTGAAGATCCAGCTTCGACCATAATAGGCATTTTTCTAGTATTAATTAGTAAATGTAATTGCAATTAAATAATAAATATAACTATTTTTTAACATTCGTTTACTATTTATATGATAATAATAAATTACAAATATATTAAGAAAAAGCTGAAGCTTTTTAGGCAGTGTGTGAGACTACATTAACAGTACAATTGATTTTATTTGTATAGTTAAACAACAATTGTAAAAATTAGTTCGGTCCGTTTTTTTGTGCATTTATTTCAAAACAAAATGAATGAACAGATCAATTAAAGTATTGTCCATCGCTGCCTACTACTTTTTCCCATCTCTCAGGCAAATTTTGAATTCCATCTTGAAAAAATGACTCGTCTTTCGATCCAATTTTGGAGCCAATTTTCGATTTCTGCGAAAGAAGTGAACTGGTGACTTGCTGCATCCTTCGGAACAACCAATAATCAGAAGGCGCAATGTCCGCAGAATACGACGGGTGCGGTAAAACATCCTATTTAAGCGTTTCCAAATATTTTTTTACGATTTTAGCGACATGAGGCCGAGCGTTGTCATAAAGAAGAATTTTATCATGTCTTTGCGTTTTTCTCGCAATGTATGGCTCAAACGAATCAATTGTAGCCAATAACGATCGCCCGTAATCGTCAGGTTTTAGCAGCTCATAGTAAACAAGACTCTTTTGATCCCACCAAATACAGAGCATGATCTTCGAATGTTCGGCCGTGGTTGATGTTAAGGTCGATGGCAACGATTGACCTGGCTTAGCAATTTTTTTTTCTTGAGGTTGTCATAGAATATCCACTTCTCATCTCCAGTCACAATCCGATGCAAAAAACCTTTTCTCTGTCTTTTCTCTGTCTTTGAATCAGCTGTTCACAAGTGAAAAATCGCCTTTCAACGTCTCTCGGTTTCAGTTCATAAGACATCCAATTTCCTTGTTTTTAATCATTCCCATGGCTCTCAATCGTACAGAAACGGCTTGTTGACTTACCCAATGATTCTGCAAACTCCTCTTGCGTTTGACTCTGATCTTCTTCGAGTAATGCCTCTAATTCTTTGTCTTCGAATTTTTGTGGCTGTCCAGAGCGAGGCTTGTCTTTAATACTGAAATTTTCATTCTTGAAACGTCGAAACCATTCCCTACATGATTTATCAGTTGGAGCAGTGTCACCATAAACTTCGACAAGCATTCGATGGGCTTCAGCCGCACTTTTTCTTCCAATTAAAGCAGAAAATCAAAACCTCCTGCAAATGCTGCTTGGTTAACACAAAATTCGACATTTCAAACACAGTAAAAATCAAAGTTTTTGTATGAAACTCAAAGCGATATAAACTGAATATTATTAGCAGATGTTTAACCTCTCTGAAACCGCCAAAATCAGCTGTCACTATGAACTATTCACAACAGCTGGAGCTATCTTTAGGGAAACAGACCGACCTAATTAGTTATTTCAAAAAATGATTGTAAATTCTAATTAAATTATATTAATTGCAATCTTTCTTTTAGTATTTATTCTATATGTGTGTGTGTGTGTGTGTGTGTGTGTGTGTGTGTGTGTGTGTGTGTGTGTGTTTTTTATATTTACTCGCTGCAACAGCAAGAACAAGGATAATTGCGTACTTCATTGCGAATAACTGACGTAAAGATGCTGCGCTTGCCAACTTAAATCAATTTCTTCCTTTCTAAACAAGAAAAAAAGAATCATTAACTGGTCTGTGACATTTTGCACGATTTGTACAGTAATCGACAGAAATATTTTTTCAAAAGATTAAAAAATGTATATATAAAGTGGATTAATATGGAATTGAAAAAAAAATGCAAATTTTATTGGATTTGAAAGGACCCACAATTATACGTTTTTATATAAAAATGTTTTTAGTTGAATTAAATTAGTTGAAACTATATTTTGTAGCTGAGAAGATGCTCTAATCAAAAATTCCTACAATTATTCAAAAATGGATTTACAGATTTTGCTGCAGCATCATTTGAAAATTGATATTTTTGAACTAATTAAATGGAAAAGAATTTGTTTCCTAAGTGTCTTTATTTTTAGTACATCGTTTTTTTTTTAACTATATAGGCCTTTATATATTTATTTATATCTGTTTATACTTATATGTATAATAATGTGAGATATGTTAATGCCTTTGCAATATAGATATAGGAAAAGTTCGAACAAAGCGAACGCCTTGAACAAAGCAAATATTTTTTATTTTTGCTTATCTGTCTGACATGAGTGCCATGAGAGAGTGCCATGAGTCTCTAACTACCGAAGAAATGATCGACCGGTTACGCCATGAAAGTACAAAACATATGACTGCGCTCATTTTGTGTTTGATAATAAAGAGAAATAAAATAAAGAGAAATAAAATAAATTGTGTGTTTTCTTGTGATTTTTTCTAAGGTATGTAGTTTAATTATTAGCAGTAACTGTTTCTTAATTAGTGTGATTCTTTGTAAGAATTTTCTGACTTTAAATGTGTATTCAAGATTAAAATTTTTCACTTGTTTAAATTTATTCTAACTTTTCCAAATTTGAGCAAAGTTCTTTGGGCAAAGTGGATGGGGGCAAAGAAATGGCTCATTCTCTTTACCCAGTATATGATTGCACTAAAAACCGGGAAACGGAGGGACAGATGATCTTTTGAGTGAACGAAAGGCACATGATTGTTTACATCTTATTTTTGTTTTTTTTCCACAACGCAGTATGATATGTATTCTGAAAAATACATCGATCCATCATTCGAAGACTAGAGATTTGTTCGCGTCGCATGAGTGCATTGGAGTGCATTGGAATGAGTAGGAGCTATGATAGGAGCATATTGGAGTATGTTGGAGCATGCGACATAAACAAATCTTAGATCTAGTGCAGACAGTGTATCAAATAAGCTCATTAAAACTGCACTAAATATAAAGGATTTGGTAACTACTTTTGTGATGACTGCCAACACTGATTTTGATTTTTTTAATTCCATCCTTATTGCTCGAGTGACCCGTCCACTTTGTTCAGGAGAGCGGCCTTTGTTCGGGCAAAGCGGATGATTTCTCTTTTTTTATGTTTTGATTAAAAAGACATTTAAATGTTAAAGTTTTTTAATTTTATTTTATTTCAAAGATTCCATTAATAGAATTATTAGAATAAAAAAGATTTCTGATCTTAATTTTAACTTTTTTTCTTTCTTCCCAAACTTTAACACATCCGCTTTGCCCGGACTTCCTCTATACATACTGAAAAAAAACAAAATAATTATTGATTATGACAACTATAAATTTACTAATTTTGAAATTATAATATATATAATTAGTTTTACAGAACAATAGCAATTAATGATATTCAATATTATAGTTATGGCAATAATATTTGTATACTATTAATTGATAGCGAAATAGCGATTCAATTACATTAAATAATTATTTAGATCTAATATATATATAAGATGTAACAAATTAACAAATATATATTTTTCAATAATTCAGATTAAAAACATATTATATAATATTTTTCTAGTTTTAGATAATACATTTTTTAAATAAAACATAATGTCATAAAAGAACTAATTTATAAGCATTGTTGAGATAATTTTAAAAAATACATAAGACTTTACTAAAGTCGCTTACTCGCGATCAATATTATCAATACTGCCATCAGAGGACGCAGTGAAATTTAATTTTTCCTAACAAGAAGAAAACCACTCAGCAATAAAAAATATAGCATTATAAGATTTTTTATTGATATTATAATAAAATGATTCTTTAAATGCGAGTTATTTGGATCAAAGACAAAACTAAATGAGAGATAAATTTCTGGAAAAGTTTATTAAAATTTGATATCATTATAATAATATATTATAAAATTTTAATAAGAACAATAAATAAATTAAATGGATTAAGAAAATATAGTAATATTAATTACTTGTATCATAGAAAATGGTTACTATTATTATATTTTCTTAATTTATATAGCTTATTTATTGTTCTTATTACAACTTTATGGTACATAATCGAGACGTTATTTGTCCTGAATTTCTAGTTCCTGATATGATTTTTTTCTCTATATATATATAGATGTATATTGATGTGCACCTATTCCATCTCTTCTCTCGCGCACTATGATATAAACCTGTTTAATAATTTGATCACATGTTGATTATATCATATCCGTGATTAACTGTATAAATGCTTATGCAGTTAATAAAATAAATATATTGTCCATAATAAAGTCTTTTTCAGTATAATTTTACTTAAAATAATAATTTTCAAATTATTGCTACAGCAAAATCTGTCCATTTATTATAATTATGCCTATAGAGATTTTTTATTAGCATCTCATAAATTACAAAATATTACAGTTTTAATTTAAGTGAAACCACTTTTCCCATATTAGTGCAAGGTTCTTTAATCTTCTTCAAAATAAGCTCTGCTGTAATATATTTATTGTTGGTCTATTTCTGCTAAAAATGGTTCTTAAAATTATTTTTCGAGATATTCACAAGCGTTCTCCTCAAATTTTGTTTAATATTTCAATATCATTAAACTTGCGCTTCTTTAAATTTTTTTAACTTCGGATAACTATATAAACAAAGAAGCGCATAAAACTAATTTTAAATCGACGAATATAAAAGTTGTCCTCAATAAATATGTTGAACAGATTGAGGCAAGTGAGTGAATGCATTATCAAGTATTTATATTCGCTTATTAATAAAGCAATCCTAAAAATTTTATGCTATGCAGATGCTCATATATTATTTTTAGCGAATCGTATATCTCATTTTTACCAATTTTGAAATAAAATTTAATTCCAAATATGTTGCTCAGTACACATTGTTTTTTAATATTGCAGAAATTGTTATGGAAAAAATATTTAATTAATTTTTTAGTTTACCATACAAATAATGCTGATAATACGTACATCAGTTTAAAAATATCACTTGTCTAAATTTGCGAACAACTTGTGCTGTTACAACGACGAGCGTTTATAATATTTTTTTAAATGTATGAGGCGATGATTTAAATATATGAATGAGACTTTTTGTAAGTATAAATCAACATTGATAAATGTACTCATTGACAAGTGATAAGTGAAGTCTGTTCAAGTCCTACACAATAGGCTCATAACAATTATTTCCGTAGTTCTTATAGTGGTGTCCGAAAAGATAATAGCAAGTAGCGTTATGCAACGCATAGTTCGAGTTCATGCGTTTATCTAATTTCTTGCAAACAAAATATTAAAAGCGTCGAAATTTTGTGTATGTAAAACGGATGGAAAAAGACGCTTTCAAAGTGCAGCATTCGGTACTATTTGTTCAAGAAACAATAACTATAAAAATAACTATAGCGAGTCCAATTGTGTGAGTCTGAACCAAACACCTCCATTTATCACTCACAAGTGTAAAAAATCTACCAATGTTGATTTATACTTATACAAAAAAAGGTCTTATTCATATTTTAAATTACTCCCGTATACTCAATACTCATATACGTATGTATGTATATTGTATATTAGATTGGGGAAAAAGTTTCTTCGTATTTAAAAAAATTTTTTTGACAAATTATATCGCGAACATTCTTCTTTCTGTGTTTATTTCAATTATATTCATAAGACTTATTATCTCAATTCATAAGTCTTCTTATCTTAAACATTTGTACGTTTTTGTAAAGCGTTTCATGAGAAAGTGAAATTAGATATTTAAAAAAATTACTTTCATACTGTGAATGATGAATTTGATCTTTTATTTTTAAGATATGAATGTACATTATATATAGCGTAACTCCGGTATATACGCATCTATCAAAAACTTAATTTATGAAGTATTATTTACTATATTTAAAGTAAACGATCTGACTATATCAGTAAATACTTTGTAGTGTCTACTATTATGAAAAAAAATATTAGAAATCCGAAATATTTATATTTCGTATTAAAAAACTTTTTTAAATCCTTGCATTTTTACCGTATACCCCATAGAGGTGAGATATATGGCTACTCATAGAAAGAAGGGGGGAGAGGGGGTATGTCTCATAAAAAATTTACAAATAATATATATAAATAAGACATTAAATAACACGATAACTTATAAAATGCGTTTATAAAGTTTTCTTAAGGAATAAGAATGATAAATATGTATATGAAGTAATAAATAATAATTACAATCTTCCCAGATGTATTACAAGTGTTATGACATGAAGTATATATTTTAATGTGTATATTATAATGTGTTTATTGTATTTAATGCACTGAATTCAATTCTATTTGTATTCAATTTATTTATAGCATTCTGTATGCTTTGGGCATAAATCTCGCCTGTTAACAATGCCATATATCCCAGATAAGATATACAAGACAATAAATTAAACAAAGAATATAAGAGCAAAGTACTTGTATTTTGTTATACAACATATTTTACTATTCCTTTACACTCATGTATTACAAAATAACCACCGAAGTTTTTTGTTTATAGTAATCATTTTATGTAGATTATGATGGCGCTACTTGACACAATGACAAATTGATTCAACTCACAATAATTTTATCAATATTAGCAGTAAGAAACTGAAATCATAACACAATACTAATATAACATAAAGACATGTAACAGAGTAGTTGCAAGAAAATTACCCCTACTCCTTCTATTTTTTCTGACTTTTGCGTAAATTCCAACGCGTATTTGTTGGAGTTACCCTA